ATGAAAATGATATAGACACTTTTTTTGTCTGTTTGAGTGTGTTGCTGATTCAAGGGGCTGGCCTGATGAGGACAGAACTTTAATGTTGCAGTGTGTGTTTACAGGTAAAGCACAAGAAGCCTACTCCGCTTTATCTTCTGACGCCTGTAAAGATTATGATACGGTGAAATCGTCTGTTTTGAAGGCTTATGAGTTGGTGCCTGAAGCGTACCGCCAATGTTTTAGAGACTGGCGAAAGAGTGGTAACAAAACACATGTGGAATTTGCACGGGATTTGATCTTGCATTTCAAGCGCTGGTACTCTGCTTCTGGGGTAAAAACATTGGATCAGTTATGTGATTTAATCATTCTGGAGCAGTTGAAACAGTCGGTCCCTGAGAACATTGCAACCTATATTAATGAACATAAAGTCACATGTCCTAGGGAGGCAGCAGTACTGGCTGATGAGTATGTGTTGACGCACAGGCGCATCTTTGGTGAGCGTTATGAAAGGAATGAATCTCAGAAAGCAGGATCTTTGTCCCCAAAGTTTGCACAGCATCCTAATGGCACAAGCAATGCAAATGTGTGTCATTATTGCCATCAACAGGGTCATTGGAAAAAAGAATGTCCTTTGCTAGAGGGGAAAAGCAACAATTTTCATGTGAAGTCAGTTGGTTTGGCTACAACTATTCATAATCCCAGAGTTGGTGAAACAGAAGTCTTGGCTCCATTGCAAATGCAGGGTAAGCCAATTGATGTCTCAGAGGTTGAGTCGGGTTATGCTTCGTTTATGTCTGACGGTTTTGTAACTCTAGTTGGGAGTGACAAGAAAGTTCAAGTCAGGATTTTGAGGGACTCAGGCGCTTTGAATACTTTTGTGAGAGAGGCCATCTTGCCTTTTTCTCCAGATTCAGACATGGGGCGCTGTGTTCCAGTTAGAGGGATTGGTCTGCAAACCATTTCTGTGCCTGAGCATGAACTGTTTCTGTCCTGTGATTTGGTCCAGAGAGAAGTGGAGGTTGGTGTTCGTCCAGAGTTGCCCGTGACTGGAGTGGACATCATTTTGGGAAATGACCTGCCAGGTGGTCGTGTTTGGTCAGATCATGCAAAGCCATTCAGGGGTAACAAAATAAACATTGCAGGAAAGAGTTTTCAAGTTAGAAGCGAGGACTGGTTTTGTCCGGATAAGTGTGGAATGATGAACTTTGCTAGAAGAAGCAGTTGTTACAGATGTGGCAAGAAGAAAACCATGAGGGCACATATGATGAAAGCTGGAGCAACAGATGGTTGGAAAACTCTGGCTGGGAAGAGCAGGGGTCTCTTCAGTGTAAATGATTGGAAGTGCAAAACATGTGGCAATGTCAATTGGGCTAGAAAGTCAGAGTGCAACATTTGTAACACACGGAAGTATGTGAAAGAGAGCTACAGTAACCTCTTTGGGTAAGATGGGGCAGGCAAGGGGAGCTTCGTCCCATTCTTCTTGAAGTTTTGGCCGTACAGGCATTCCCTGTTTCGTCCACTAAGCAGCAGTAGTTGCTTTTCCTGGGGTTAGGCTGTAATGATTGCGGGTTTTGTGCAAATTTCGGTAGTCACCTCATGTACTTTTTGTCATAGTTCTATTCTTTGCCTAGTATCACTTTTGATAGGCTTATAATGCAGTTTTTGTGTGCTCTGAAACGTGTTACTCGGATTTATGAATTGGAAGAAAATGTTGTGTCTAATGTTCTTGTTTTGTTTCAGGATCTGAGGTGCTACCTCATTCTTAAGGGGGGAGGTGTGACGGCCCCTAGGCCTTAGACTCAGGTCCCTGGTTAGCCACTCTCCAAATCAGGAGAGATTGCTGACACCTGATTTGGGTTGACTGCTCAGCTACAAGTATGGGTGCCTGAGCAGTCAGTCTTTCTCTCCTCTTGGGTTGGCTTGGCTCTACTGGACCTTGGTTTGTTTGGCCTTTCTTTATATACTGATGCATGTTCACACACCCACACACTACACACATTACTGATTAACTGACTTCATAGTTAATTTAGTTTCTTTAAATAAATGCACTTCAATTGGATGAATCATGTGTGGTCTCCTTCCTTTGTCCGTCCTTGAGCTAGGGCGTGACACAGCACCTAAATACACCCAGGACTAATCAAACACACAAGACACAGGTGAGGGGGGAGGAGCAAACACAGGGCACCAGGTGAACACAACCGGGTAATCAGCAGGAGGGAACACAGAGACCGGAAGTAACAGACAAGACGGGGGTGAACACTTATACAATTAATGCAATTTAATCATTTAATAAATACTACATCAATAAATAGTATAAACTATGTGCAAATATGCAATGCCAAACTGCACTGTGCAATCACGCCAACAAAGCTCAAACTGTTCACCACTAAAGTGCTGAGTGACATTATTTCCGTGCACAGGGAAGTTGTCATCAATATACCCTATAGCAGTGGTTCCCAAACGGTGTGCCGTGAGGCAAGTCCGGGTGTGCCGTGGGATTTTGTGAAAACCATACGTTATTATTGCAATATACAACTACACAAAAATAATTATTTTTTAATTTACTATATCAGTACTTTGTAGGTTTATATGTACGTAATCTGCGCGATTTGTGCGTCCACATCTCCACGTGCAGTGCTGCATAAACATGGCTGAGTCAGCGATAACTTTCGAGGGGTGGAGGTATGCCCATTATTTTGAGTTCGTCCGAAGAATAGACAGGAATGTGACGGTGAGGTGCAAACTGTGTCCAGGCCAGAAGCTGTTATCCACTGCTGTAAACACCACGTCAAACCTCAACACACACCTGCAAATAACACATGCTAAGGTGAAGCTACCGCACATGCTATTTGTTGTTTGTTTATATCACTTAGTCTGTTCTTCTTCTCGGTCTTCCGGTTGTTGCCTGTTTTGACAAATACACACTACCGCCGCCTGCTGGTAAGGAAAGTTATTGCCACTCACGCATGCGCAGTTCGTACGTGCTTGGCGAGTAAAGTAACGAGTAAAGTAACGAGTTACTTTATGTAGATAGTAACGAAGTAGTGTAATATATTACTTTTTTTTTTAAAAGTAATATGTAATATATTACATTTTTTTTTGTAACGACCCCATCTCTGGAGTTGGCGTTCTCTACTCTGATTTACATGAAGAACAACCGGAGGTCACGGCTCTCTGTTGAACAGGACTTGCGAGTGGCCCTCTCCTCAGTGCCACCAAGGATTAAAAAATTCTGCGCGCCCCGACAGGCACATGTATCTCACTCATTTGTAAGTCGGCAAAATATTTACAATAGCACATGTTTCAATGCTGATTGCTGAAATGTTACATTTATAATTTGTAGTTCAGGACCATGGACAATGCAGCTTCCTTGCATTGACAGTTCTCTGTGCTGAATTTCTGCTGAGTTTCCTTTGCCTCATTTTTTATTTTGTGACCTGTCTGGTTTAAATGAGTGTGTTGCTGCTTTGATGAAGCCTAATTTGATAAAGTTTCAAATTAATTTCTGAAATATTTCGTTAATAAATATTTCATGAGTAATATAGTTGTCTTTGTCACATTTTATTTGGCATTAGTAAATAATTATGCACATTTACAGATATTTTACATGATATGAGTGATAACACGAGTTATAAGGGCTATTTTGCACAATAGGTGTGCCTTGAGATTTTTACTTGTCCTTTGGTGTGCCTTGGGCACAAAAAGTTTGGGAACCACTGCTCTATAGTATACAGTACAATGATTATATAAACATGTTAACAAGAGCCCTAGTAACGGCATCTCGTCGTTACACTGTTTGAAAAAAATTAAACTAGCTTGTATTTTCAAAAAAGGACATGAAGGTGCAAAATAAGGAAATAAATAAAAAGTAAGGAAATCATTTTGGGAACCACTGCAAGGGATATATTTTTTAAAGGGGACCTATCATGCAAAATGCACTTTTTGATGTCTTTGATGCAAATATGTGTCCCCGGTGTGTCGGGGAACTCACGCAGCGTCAGAAAATAAAACCCTCTCTCTTTTCCTCCGTACCCAAATCTCTAAAAACGGGGGAACAACGGAGCTGATCCAGATTTGCGTCCGATATGACGTAATATCTGAAATGTGGACCCACGGCCCAATCAGAAACGTTGCTATCAGAAACAATGCCCGACTGTTTTGGACGTAATATGGTCGGTGTTTACATTAGCATCGCTAACACTCAGAGCTAACCTGTACTGGAGAGCATGTGTGTGAAGAAGCAGGAAATAAAAAGGAACTCACCTTGTGGTATAACCGGCAAGAGAGAAAGCCTTTGAGCTCCAGACTGTTTCAGAGAGAATCCTTGATAATCCATGATATGGCGTTTCATCACGGCAGCATTTAGTTTAGACAGTAGCTGCCGGGTCCCGCATGAGCTCAGACCCCTCCTTTTTTTTTTTTTAAAGCTTTATCCCCCAAATCAGCACTTTTGAAACCGGAAGTGAAATAGAGGGATATGAGGCATGGCTAGAATGGGTGATCTGTTTGGTATTTTGAGCAAAACACTTCATGTTTTTTATATATCTGAGACCTATGCTATTGCCTACAAATAGCATGATAGGTGACCTTTAAGATTACCAATGGAAAAATGCTTTTATTTATTTTTATTAACTTTACTAATATTAATTTATTTTTATAATTATCTTATTTATTTCCTTATTTTAACTTGTAACTGTCTTACTTATTTTTTTTATTTTTTTTTACTTTATTTAATTTCATATTCTGTTTTACCATATTATTATTTGTCATTTGAACGGAAAAGTCATATGTCAGGATATGTCTTGATTTGTAAAAATGAAAATAAACAGGTTTTTTTTAAAACAATGGATTCAGTGCAGTTGGATATTCTCCTGAAATATTTTTCTGATCCGAGTCAAAGGCCTCTGCTGCTCATTGGACATTCATCCAGTGACCTCATCATTTGACCTGCTGTAACCTGATTCTCTTATCAGTATTTACCCTGATTTTTAAAAGTGTGTGTGCCGTCTGTGTTTCAGCTCGTATGACGTTGCGGTGGTGGGGGGGGGCATCGTGGGTCTGGCCACCGTCAGAGAGCTGATCCTGAGACACCCGACACTCAGCTTCATCCTGCTGGAGAAGGAGAAGGAGCTCGGTACGTCCCTCCAGAGGACGATATAAGAAGTGAAGTGTTTAAACTTGGTGCAGACACAAGAGAAAGAACAGTTTCAGTTTATTTACACCAACAGAGTGCATTTTTTATTTATTTAATTAAAGCAATTACACATTTTAAAATGTATTGTGGTTAGCTTAATGGTATTTTACTGTACACTTTTCCTGTTAAAGTTTTTGCAGCTGCTCTTCAAAATGTCCGTGCACGCTCCTGATGATAAACCTATCTATTAATGTCTTTTTAAAAATGTAATTCCTGTGTCTGCAGCGGTGCATCAGAGCGGTCACAACAGCGGAGTGATCCACAGCGGGATCTACTACACCCCCGGCTCTCTGAAGGCCCGGCTGTGTGTGCGCGGCGCCACGTTAGCTTACGAGTACTGCGACAAGAAGGGACTGCCCTACAAGAAATGTGGAAAGGTCCGTATATATAGCAAATAAAATACTAGCCATACATTACTGAGGCTGTAATTTATGGTCTTTTTGTTTTAATTCAAAGCTTTTATTGAGGGTTTGGAATGAAGCAACGTCGTCATCATCACGCTTAAAAATTAACAACAAGCTCGTACAAAATCCTCACTTTGAATAACAATTTAATGTATATTTTCTGAATATCGGAGCGCAGTGAAAATTAGTTTTAGTCTAAATACCAGGACATATTTTAGATATTAAAATAAATGTCTTAATAAATGTTGAATTTCCTTGAATTTTGCAAAGTATGTCTGAAACGATCCTACGCCACTGGAATCCCATTCTACTAATTGTATATATTTCTAATAATATTATTGTAGCTTTCCTTTTTCTATCTCTGTGCACAAACACAACAAAAGGAATGCAAAAATAAATCAACTTTATGAATGAAGTTTAAAACCTTTTTGTACAGCCCTATATTTATATACAAAATGCATTCAACACAAACTCTGTTTAAGGATTTGCAGGATGGATCATTGTGTTGTAATTGTGTTGTTACCGATGTGTGTGTTTGTGCAGCTGATCGTGGCCACGGAGCAGGAGGAGATCCCCCGGCTGCAGGCTCTGTACGAGCGCGGCATGAAGAACAACGTGAGAGACCTGAGCATCGTCGACGCTGAAGGCATCCGCGAGAGAGAGCCTTACTGCAGGGTGAGAGAAGACTCACACACTGATGTACACAGTGTCTGCTGTCCTTAAAGATGGGGTAGGTAATTTTGGAGAAACCAGCTCGAGTGCGCTAGAATTTGAAAATACACAGCCGGAACAAATCTGCCACTTCCTTCAGACTTCCTTACAGAGCCCCTCCTCCAACACACACAAACATGACCAATGAGGGCACGAGATAAGTCTGTGCACAGATGGAAGGCTGACAGGCAGGTAGGCCATCCAGATACTTTAGCCGGGCCGGCTCAGATGATTGGTCGTGCTTTTTACAGCGCCACGGCTTCCACAGATGAAATGTATTTATTGTCAAAGCACTTAAGATATTCATCGCTATCGGGATGTTAAGAGCATTCCATGGAATATAACAAAAAGTGTTTCTCGAGCCGGTTTCTCAAACTTACCCCACCTTTAAAGGCCCAGACACACCAAGCCGATTTCAGCCGTCGATAGATGTCTGGCCGTCGATGAGCGTCCTGTCGCCCTACTCAGATTGGTGTATCCCGCACCGTCGTGTCTTTTCGGCCGTACCGACACCTTCCGCTGTTGAATCGGGGAGCTGTCGGCAAAATAAATCACTCCGATTGGCTGTTTAGCTTAGCGAATCAGTGCATGTGAAGCGAGGTACGCAAACAAACGATTAAGAAGGCACACACAGAAGGCTATTACCGCACTAAACATGTTTTCGATGGACGAGAGTGAAAATGGAACGCACAAGCTATTTGTTGTTTGTATATATCACGCAGTCTGTCTTCCGGTTGTTGCCTCTTTTGAATGACGAATACACACTACCGCCGCCTGTTGGTAAGGAGAGTTATTGCCACTCACGCATGCGCAGTTCGTATGTGCTACTTGGCCGTCGGCTGAAGTCTTTGCGGTGTGTTCCAGTGCGACTGTTGGCCAAGACGCAGGAGACGTGAGGCGACAACAGTCGTGTTCCGTCGGGACGTGTTCTTTGGTGTCAGCTTGGTGTGTCTGGGCTTTAAAAGTCACCTATTATACTGTTTTTCATCCATATATCACAGGTCTCAGATATATACAGAGCCTGTCTCTGATTGGCTGAAACACCAAACAGATCATTGCAGCATCCCATAATCCCCTCTGTTTCCAAAGTGCTGATTCTCTGTCTGTTACTTTAGATGAAAATAAGGAGCCCCTCCCCACGCCCCTCTGAGAGACATTTGGTTACAAAGAACTCAATTAAGCTCTAGGAGGAGATTCAGGTGATAAGGTGGGGGGGGGGTTACCTTGGTTGCTGATTGCCTAATGGTAACACAAGCCAAAAAACTCGTTATGACATCATAGAGTGGCCAAAATCTGATCAGCTCATTTTCAGACAGGTTTTTATAGAAATGGATCAGGACAAAAAGAGAGAGAATCTTTTGTTGATGTAGAAGAGACATGGAGAAGAGGGGACACATGTTGATGTAGAAGAGACATGAAGAAGAGGGGACACATGTTGATGTAGAAGAGACATGAAGAAGAGGGGACACATGTTGATGTAGAAGAGACATGAAGAAGAGGGGACACATGTTGATGTAGAAGAGACATGAAGAAGAGGATTTTGCATAATAGGTGACCTTTAAATCAGAGTAAAGGATCTGATGCTTCCTCCTCCCCCCCTGCAGGGCATCATGGCTCTGGACTCTCCATACACCGGCATCGTGGACTGGAGGATGGTGGCTCTCCGGTACGGGCAGGACTTTGAGGAGGCGGGGGGGACGGTGGTGACGGAGTCCGAGGTCAACGACATCTGCTCGGCGACGGAGAGCCAGGCCGGGAGCACAGAGGGTAAAAAAACAGGGGTGCAGAGTAACAAAGTGCTTTTGCTATCAAGTACTGCACTACATTTCTGAGGTTCATTTCCTGCTCTTTTTTTACTTCTACATAGAACTTTTATTATGCACAGTAATATAACTGATCTTTCATCCAAGTTGCAGCTAGTATGTTCACATTATTCTGGTCCATTATAACACAGTCATAAACAAGACTAGTCATTCACATTTGTTTTACTTGCAGGTATGAAATACCCTATTGCAATCAGAGATAAAAAGGTAAGAAACACGCGTCATCAAGTACACATATTTAGATTGTGTTTTATAGTTGCATTATAATAATGACAATAAAGCTTTATTTTTACACCATTTTTAATACACAGCACATATTCAGCATGTTGTAGTAAAACAGAAATAAGAAAAAATTGGTCAATACAATAAAATATAAAGATGTCATTGTGTTGTGTAGCCCCGGGGTTAAAGCTTCACAATTTCTATATCTTGTTTTATTATTTCCATCATTTTCTTGCTGTTGTTTACTCTCCAGGGCAGGGAGGTGCGGTGCCGCTTCGTTCTGACCTGCGGGGGTCTCTACTCGGACCGCCTCTCTCAGATCTCAGGCTGCAGCAGTGAGCCGAGGATCGTTCCCTTCAGAGGAGACTACCTGGTGCTGAAGCCCGAGAAACACTACCTGGTGAAGGGCAACATCTACCCCGTGAGTCTCAGGAACAATCCTTTAATTTATACATGTTTAAATCATTAGAGATTCACATACCAGTACTGTATGAAATCTGAAAACGGTGGCGACCCCAAGTGGCAGAAAGAGACGTGTGTTTGAGTTGTTGAAGTTTGAAAGATATGGAAATACTTGAACACGTGGTCAGTAAGCTTAAGCCTTTTTTTAATACTTTCTAAATTATTATTGTTGCATGTATTTATTAGTTGTTATTTCCCATCATCTTAATCTGTTCCCAATGGGGATTTCTAAGTAAACCAAAAGCTTGGAAATTGCAATTATACCTCTGTCTTAATTTGGAGTAACTCTTCTCATCCACTTAGCAGCTGATCTCTGTTACATATACAAAATAAAAAATCAGATTTAGATTCCACTTTTTTGTCATTGCACATGCAGTTTGATAAAGTGTTTGAGGTTCCAGTAGTTTCACATATTGATAACAGTATCACAGTTGTTGGCAAGGTACAGAAAGTTTTGTATGAATATGAAATTAATATGAACAAATAAGGTTGTTTTCTCCTTCATTTTTTCTCCATTTAAATATCCGTATAGGTCCCTGACCCCCGGTTTCCCTTCCTGGGAGTCCACTTCACTCCGAGGATGGACGGGAGTGTTTGGCTCGGTCCGAACGCCGTGCTGGCCTTCAAGAGGGAGGGCTACAAAGTTTACGACTTCAACGTCCGGGACTTTGCAGACGCTCTCTCGTTCAGGTACAACATCAACAACATTTGATCTGTTTTAAATGATATTATTACAGAGATTCTGAGTGTTTATTCTCTCTGTTGTGCAGGGGTCTTCAGAGGCTGGTGATGAAGAACATGGTGTACGGGATGGGAGAAATGTATCGAGGGATTTTCATTGGTGCACAGGTCAAAATCCTGCAGAAGTACATCCCCGAACTCTCGCGGAGTGACGTGCTCAGGTACAAGATAATGCAAGACCTAAGAAATACATGCACACTTCCTTATATTACAGTATCAGGGGTTGATTAACAGGTGCACTTACCTCTGGAGGTAAATCTACCAGCACAATTGAGATCTAGGGCGGCTCGATAATGCCTGTAATCTGTTTTCAAGGTCACAGGCTCCTCCAACAGTGCAACACAATAAAACTGATAATAGTTCAAGTAAATAAAATAAAATAGAATATAAATAAAGCGGAAAAAAAGGCAAAGTTGGAGAGGAACAAAATACACAGCAGCCATCTTCACCGGCGCCATCTATCAGTCAATATTGAGATAAGAATTAGCTACCTTTTATTAATTGACTCTGGAAAACAGTGTGCATTTATGTAACTTGTTTGTAAGAAGATAACTGTAGGATTTAATTCTGTTTCCTGTTTCCTCTGCAGGGGTCCTGCAGGGGTCCGGGCTCAGGCTCTGGACCGAGACGGGAACCTGGTGGACGACTTCGTGTTTGACGGCGGCGTCGGGGAGGTGGGCAGCCGTGTTCTCCACGTGAGAAACGCTCCATCACCCGCCGCCACCTCGTCACTCGCCATCGCTGAGATGGTGGCCGACGAGGTGGAGAAACGCTTCGATCTGTAGAGCAAGATCACAGAATAAAGAAGAGAGAAAACCAAAAATCATCCTTATCTTGACAGTGAAAATATTTGTTATCCAACTATCCCTACCTCAACATCACTGCCATCATGGAGCCTTAATGTGGAGAAGAAATTTACATATTTCACATTTTTCAACAGTTTTTACTTAAGTGTTGTTTTAAGTTGCTTCACATGTTAACTTTACTACATTTCAATACAAGTGCAGCCTTTAGAACTTGTTAGCCTGCCAACGCTAGCCTGCCAACGCTAACCTGCTAACGCAACAGGTGTTCAGGCAGAAAATAACCAACAACTTGTAGCTGTTAGTAAGCTGACAACAAGCTGAGCTCCCATGACTTAACAGTGTACTTAATTAGCCATTATTCTCTCTTAGCTTTAGCAACATTGTTATTAGCCATTAGCTCTTTTAGTTAGCCGCTGTTTTACAGTAGCAACTGGCTAGCCTCACAAGCATCCAAACTAGTGCATTTCGGATAAGAAAAATCTTATCAGTTTAATGTTTTAAACGTACTTTTTTAAGGAGATTGAGGGTTTTTAAAACTATAAATCTTGTATGGTTCTTTTGAGGACATGCGGTTTTTATTTGTGTTTTGACTGTATGAGAGATTAATTTGTCCCTGTCATTTTCATATTTTAATACTGTAAAGCCTGCCGGGTTTTGTCAGACATGCTCCAGAAATGTATAAGAATGAGAAAAAAGGAAAGGAAAAAATAAGGATTTTGTCCTTAAATATAATTGTGTCATAATGTAAACATGATGATCTCTAGTTTTTTGTCAACAATCTGTATGAAAAAAGTGGGATTTTATTTGTAAATGTCATAACACACAGTTAATCAGTTTTATCTTCAATAATTGTGTTAACAATTAACAATATAGTCTTATTGTCATATTTATATTCACTTAAGAAGGAGTTGTGTTGGGGTGCTAATTTCATTTAATTCTGCCTAATTTGCACTTTCTACATGTTCAAGAGCTTCACATTTTCCAGACAATGTATATATATCAAAATTCTATTATTTCATACGTTTTATTGACATTGAATGTTGAGTATTTTGTACCATAAATACATATTTTTGAAGAGCATGATTGTGGGTTTTTGCTTCATTAGTTACATGGCTGCAACCTCAGTTGATTCCAATGGATGTGCATGAACGAGGTGAAAAAGTGAATAGAAAACACGTTTATTTGGTTAAATTTCAATAGATTTTTTAACCTTTCATATTGAAAAGCGTGTGTATATTTACACATGCCCATCCTTATCAAAACCAAACATACTGTATGATGTATACAAAGTGTATATATAGGGTGGTCCTTAAAATTGAAAGTGGGAAAGTCTAAACTCCAACCCCCAGAATTCATTCTATTAGTCAAGAAAACTCTCCTGGTGAATTTCTTCCACAATCTGACAACATGTACCCCTCCCTCATCGACCTGGGCTGCCACACCAGCAGCCACGGTGCGTAACTGAGGCTAAACTTTAAGGTTGATGAGGGAGGGGTAAATGTTGTTGGAATTTGAATACAATTCACCAGGGGCCTATACTACGAATCTAGTTCAACCTAACCTGGATATGTTTGAGTTAGCCGGTTGGCCTAATCCAAAACATACGCGCTCTCGCTAAACTGTACTACGACCCGGGTTATCAAGTGGATCGCTCAAGCCAGCCGTGTCCTATCTAGTTAGGTGCGCGTTCACATGAAAGGGGTGGTATTTGGAGCATTCGACCAATCAGAAACATGGAGAAGCGTACTGACAGCGCAGCGTCATACTTCCTGAATGAAAAGTGAACTTTAATACTAGTCAAAAATGAAGAAGTTAAACTTTAAACATCCATGACTTAAACACTTTATCCAGGATAAAAGCCACATAGTCTGCACCTGCAAGGTGAATACAGCTGGCAAAAGAAAAAGTGTTTGAATGCGTACATTAACAGGTTTATGATATCACTGCCCCGTCTAAGACACGATTTGACTTTAATTACATTTGTCTCGAGTGTTTCGTCAACTTAATGTGTTGCTTAAAATAATACTTCTGCATACAGTATGTGACACTGTGAGTGTTGCACGGCCAGATAGGGCTCAGCTGACTCAGATAAGAAAATATGATCCATTATGAAGTGATATGCCGCGGACTGTAGGCCTACTTAATGTTACTCTGATCCGGTTACTTAGGCCTATGTTGTGGCAGATATTTAAGTAAGCTTTCTTAACGCTAATGTTATAATAGTCAGATTGCTCTGAAGATGGGAGGTGATATTCTATTCTTTTTCACGTTCACACAGTCGGTGATTTTTGCCAGCCGTCTTTCCTGCGACGGCAGCTTTTCTGTATTTCCTTTCTCCTGTAATATGACTTGATCGCTTTAAACTCCACACACTGAGCTCTGATTGGTCAGCAGGCAGTGCTTTCACTGAGTTGAGCTCTTAGCCTACAACCTAACCTGGTCCCGACCAGGTTAGCCGCTTAGCATAAGTTACCATGGAGATCTAGCCTGCTAAAAAGAGAACCAGCTTCGTAGGACCGGAAAGCCGGAGTTTTCCCTGAATTTAGCCGGCTAAGCGAAAATCCTGCTTCGTAGTATACCCCCCAGGAGAGTATTCTTGACTATCATAACGAATTCCGGTGGTTGGAGCTTAAAATAAATTAATTCGAAAATGTACATGCCACTAAGGACCACCCTACTGTATATATGTATATATATATATTGTTTTTTTTAACCCTAACCCTAAGTCTAATTAAATAAATGGGAAAATAATCATAAGATAAGATGGAACTTTATTTATCCCCATGGGGAAAAACAGGCTTAGAGTTAAAAAAAATAGAGGTAGAGGTAAAAAATAAAGACAAAGTAGAATAAAACAATTAAAATAATTATACAAAAGCGATACAAATAAAGTTATAAATAAACAAAAAAAGACACATATTCAATCAAATAAACTTCATTGTGTTGTTCTGTATTATATATATTTTGTTATTGTTTGTATCAGAATTCCAGAATGAAGCACTTCTTCAATTTGTCCACAAGGAGGCAGAGTCACAGTAACAAACGGTATGAGGCATACATATTTCTACATTTAAGGATTTTACTGTGGATGTTGGTAATTGTACAATTCGTTTTTATCACAGATGACATGATTCAATCTTTGATTAGATATTTATTGTGTTTCAAAATATATTACTATATCAGTTTTGAAAAATACACAACACAACACAAATAAAGTCAATAGAAACTTAAAGAAATAATAAAAAAAATAAAAAAACATTTATCATTTTAATAAATAATATATATATATAAAAAATAAATGAACTTATTTTATATGTATGTATTATAACAATATAAATAACAATTATTTTTAAGAATACTTCCTTGTTATGAAACCAAACTTTGCAATTCACAAATAAATACTACTTCTACTCAAGACCAAGACTTTAAGAGGTCGAGACCAAGGGTGTTTCTCAATCGCGAGTACGCTTGCTTGGTAGCACATATCTTCCGAGCGTCTTGCTTCAGAAGCGAGGCAAGAATACTTCCTGGCATTCGGAAAACAAAGGGAGTTTCTCAATCGCGAGGATGCTGGCTTGGTAGTCGCGTACTTCCAAGTCACTTCCTTCAGAAACGAAGCAAGTATACTTCCAAGCCACGGCTTCGGAAAACGAAGAAGAATGGAACAGGCTAACAAGTGTGCCACTCTCTCTAACGGTTTCAACATAAACTACCGAAAATAAATACCTCACGATGTCTATCTAATTATGAACTTGCTTTACTTTCACGGAACACTTTTTTGGTGATAACAAACAAATGTAACAAAGTAACATATTTACCAACACATGTTCTACGCCACTATACTTACATTTAAATGTGTGCTGCGTCAGTTCAGCCATTCTCCGCAAGGGTTTTTTTAATTGGTCCGTGCGCAAAGCATTGTGGGGATTTTAAGGACGCAAAGTCTACCCATGTGCAGCCTCGAAATTTCCCCCAAACCAAGGACGCGGCCTCTGTGGAATTCCAAGTATGCTGGAGATTGGAACAGTCCTTCGGCGGCACTCGATGACGTAGCATCCTTGAAATATTGGCTTGGAAGCCAGAATCCTCGAGATTGAGAAACGGCCAAAGAGTGGAACAGGCTAGCAAGTGTGCAGGTGTGCGTCATATGAGAGGCCCCGCCTTACATTTTCCGCCACAGATTTTGGGAAGTTGGTCCGTGCGCAAAGCATCGTGGGGATTTTAAGACCGCGGGCCGTTTCTCAATCTCGAGGATACTGGCTTCCAAGCCAATATTTCAAGGATGCTACGTCATCGAGTGCCGCCGAAGGACTGTTCCAATCTCCAGCATACTTGGAAGTGACTAGGAAGTACACGACTACCAAGCCGCATCCTCGAGATTGAGAAACGGCCCAAGACTTTAAGAGGTTGACACCAAATCAAGACCAATACTTTAAGCGATCGAGACCAAGACAAGACCAAGACAAGACCAATACTTTAAGAGGTCGAGACCAAGTCAAGACCAAGACCAAGAACAAGACTTTAAGAGGTCGACACCAAATCAAGACCAAGACTTTAAGAGGTCGACACCAAATGAAGACCAATACTTTAAGAGGTCGACACCAAATGAAGACCAATACTTTAATCGCTCGAGACCAAGACAAGACCAAGGCAAGACCAAGACTTTAAGATGTCGAGACCAAGACCAAGACCAAGTCAAGACCAAGACTTTAATGCCCCGGCCACACGAGGACGAAAACGGTCGTTTGCGTTACTGTTTAGTGTCATATAGACCGTTCGGCCACACGAGGACGACCGAATACGGCACTAAACGACTGCGTAAACGATAACGGGTCCCAAGGTGGATAGAACGGCATACGCAACGCACTGGGGGGTCCAACGGCTCCGTGTGTACGCCCTATACGATCATTTTCTGATAATGATGAGGCAATAGCCCCGCCTCTCCCCACCTCTGCTGCTCATGAAACAGACACTGGCGCTGTCCGAAGAGAGGGAGGAAAAAGAGAGGCTCCGTGTATTTTATTATTATAATATATAGATTCGTTATTCATTTGTTTTAAAGCTCAATAAATAACAAAGAAGACCTTTGACCGGCACTTTTATAATTTTGTCGGAAGATTTAAACTTTAATACACGTTGACTGGTGAAAAACTCTGCCCGGTTCCCTCGGCCCCCACCGCGGAGAATAAACAGAAGGGCAACCATGACAACCATGCTTCTTCGCTGCTTTTGTGGAGGAAGTTACAGCGCCACGTACAGGCTCCTGCATATGTACTGCAGCTTCTCCAGCGGTTGGAGCTAAACGGAGCTGTCTCGTGTGGACAGTCACTATGCGGTGAATATTGCGTGTGGACGGAAGCTTTTTTGCGATTGCGTTTGCGTTAATCCTATGCGTTTAGCTGTTTTCGTCCTCGTGTGGCCGGGGTCTAAGAGGTCGAGACCAAATCAAGACCAAGACTTTAAGAGGTCGAGACCAAGACCAAGTCAAGACCAAGACTTTAAGAGGTCAAGCCCAAGACTTTAAGAGGTCTTAACTTCAGACATATTTCATATTATTTGAGCCAACTTTTTTATTGTTGTTTATTTTTCTCACATTCTTTATATATGTGTCTTTGCTTTTATTTGTATCCCTGGTAAACATACGTTACTGAAACCTGATTCTGATTTGTATTCCTGAAACTAAAAATGTGTTTGCTTCTGTAAGTTCCATACTTTTCACAGAGACAGAACATCCAGCCTCTTTTTTTATAGAAATTAATAAATCATATTTTTACTGTATTTTCTTATGTAATAAAAGATTTAATAAATACAAATGAATTTAAAATAATAAAACTGCACTGCCCTTTCAGTTCAAATCCAGATATATTATACACATTTGTATAGTACTCTTATTGTCATTTAAAAAAAATCTTCATTAATGTTTCTTGATTTTTTTCAATGACTTCCTTGTTGTGAAATAATACTTTGCAATAAAAATAATTTTGATTCAGATATTTTATTCCTGAAACTGTGAATCTTCTGTCTCCTGCTGGGACTATAATATGCAAAGAGACAGCAAGTCCAGCCTTTTTCTTTTATTATATAGAAATACAAATCATTATTCATGTTTCTTGTGTTTTTCTTAAATACTTTCCTTGTTATGAAAACCTATTTTGCAGTAAAAAGGGTTCTGATTCTAAATCTGTATTCCTGTTACTGTCTTCTGTCTCCTGCTGGGACTCCAGTATGCAAAGAGACAGAAAGTCCAGCCTTGTTTTTCTCCTCTGTCCAATAAAGAGCTCAGTTCCGCAGCCTGTCAGCGGAGTTACGAACATCTCTGACTTCTTCTCAACCAAAAAAACACCTCGACCTCCGCACGAAATGCCTCGGACTCACCGCTGTTTTTGGGGGGATTTACGATGGATTTTTAACGTCTGATCACCGCGGTAAAAGATGCCTGAATGTGAGGTGTCCAGCGCTGGAGAAAGAGTGCCTTTTCTGGAGCTAAACGGGTCCGCAACATAAAACACAAGGCCAGCCTGTAGCATCTAGTTAGCATCTTGTTAGCTGCTAACGCTGCTAACAGGTGTTCAGGCAGAAAATAACCAAACACAACGTGTAGCTGTTAGTTAGCTGGCAAAACAAGCCCATGACTTAACACTGAACTTAATATGCCTATTATTCGCCTTTTTTAAGCAAACGCGAAGTAGCAAGTATAACACTTAGAAACATTGTTGTTAGCCGATAGCTCCTTTTTCAGTTAGCCGCTGTTTACAGTAGCTAGCCTCACTTAGCATCCCAAGCTAACGAGTTAACTTTATAGCTACATGTGCTTGTTTTTATGTTGTAGCTGATTTTTCGCTCTTTAACTGGATTCTACTGCCAATTTTGGTGATTTTCTTCACGTTTGCAAGCGAGGCAGTTGGAGTTTTCCCCACCGTACCTCTGCCCCGGACTGACCCCCCCCCCCCCACAGGACTCTCTATCCGGGGCCGATGCTGACAGTTCAGCCCGGTCGCAAGGAGCCATGCAGCCCCAGCAGATATACGACTTTTCCAGTGACGAGAACAGTCACAAATGGAGAGGCCTCTTCGTGCAAGCTCTGCGGAAGGTAAGACTGTGATTATTACCTCTATTAACCTCCAAAAGTCACACAACCTGTCTTAAATACAGGAGATACACTGGTTCAATGGAGGCACTTACTAACCCAGACGTCAACAGTCAATATAAATAACAACAGCTAAATCATGCAAATGTCACAAGCAGGACATACTAATTGTCTTCTTTTTACATGCAAAGGGCAGCTTTTCTTCTTTAACTTGCATTTGCAAAATCTGCTGTAAATGAATGACATCAAATCAAGACATGACAAAAAAAACAATAGAAGCTTCTGAAGAACACTGATTACTACCTCTTTATTAACCTCACTAAGTCACACAAACTGCCTTAAAAACACACATGCAGTAGATACACTGGTTCAATGGAGGTACTTGTTTCCTTGCTAACCCAGATATCGGCATCAAAAACAATAGCTCATTTTTATATATATATATATTGTTATGTGGAATAGAAGTAAATGCTAATGTCACCAGCAGAAAATAGTTATAGTCTACTTTGTACATGCAAAGGGAAGCTTTTGTTCTTAATTACATCAAATCAAGACATATAACAAAATACCAGAAGAAGTTGACATTATATTGAGCACCATGCACAGAGGCTCTGGTTTCTTAAGTAACCCAAACCTCAACAGTCGACATCAAAAACAACAGCTAAGGTTTACAAAGATATTATTATATGCAGAAGAAAATGCTGATATCACCAGTATGTGTGTACTTTTTACATGCAAAGGAAAGCTTTTGTTATTTGGCTTGCATTTGCCATTATTGACATCATATAAAATCAGGACATGACGTTAAAACACAATAGAAGCTTCATTAAGATGACTACAAGCTGAAGGTATGGAGGCACTTACTAACCCAAGCGTCTGTCTCAAGCTCAAAAGCTATAACATATAAAAACATGTTGTGTGATAGAAGTAAACGCCAATGTCATCAGCAGAAAACACTTTATTATGTGTGTATTTGCACAATCTGCCACTAAAGGGGTACATTTAATTACAGCATGTAACAACCGTATGACACACAACACAAATAAAGCTACATTGAAATGAGCACCAGCTATGGTGAGGATGTCATTGCTAACCCAAACTTCTGTCACAAATGTTAGTGCCCCTGACAGTCAATACTTTATTGACTACTTGGTTTTCTTTGGTTTGTAAACATATGCTCTGAAAAAGGGGAACTTTAAATACACATTTACAGTAAAGCACAAAACAAAACTGAAGTTACAAATGGTTTGGTTTCCTTTCTAACCCAAACTGTCAGTATGGGCAACACAACTATTACATCACATTACATGTCACTTGTTAGACGCTTTTATCCAAAGCGACTTACATACTCAATACTGTGGACAATCCCCACAGGAGCAATTTGGGGTGAAGTGTCTCAGGGACACAAGACATGCTGACTGCAGTGGGGTTTGAACCTGTGCCCCCCTGATCTGAACACCAACGCACTAGCCCACTGCGCCACACGCCTCCTATGTTATGCCAAGCAAATACATAATTCTCTATGTTCGTAATGCAGATTTTATTCTTTGGTATGCACTTGCAAAATCTCCTACTAAAAGGGTGCATTAATAACATCACATGATTTTAAATACATGTAAACCAGCTTCTGGATGGTGCAGGCTGGATCAAGGTTAAATAAATACAAAATCTAAAATGTTGTGTGCTGAGCAAACCGGCTTAAAAAGGCCACGTCCTCACTGATTAAGATATTTTAAAGCAACATGGGCCACATTTCCACTAGTGTGTGTGTGTGTGTGTGTGTGTGTGTGTGTGTGTGTGTGTGTGTGTGTGTGTGTGTGTGTGTGTGTGTGTGTGTGTGTGTGTGTGTGTGTGTGTGTGTGTGTGTGTGTGTGTGTGTGTGTGTGTGTAGTGTGTGTGTGTGTGTGTGTGTGTGTGTGTGTGTGTGTGTGTGTGTGTGTGTGTGTGTGGGTGTGTGTGTGTGTGTGTGTGTGTGTGTGTGTGTGTGTGTGTGTGTGTGTGTGTGTGTGTGTGTGTGTGTGTGTGTGTGTGTGTGTGTGTGTGTGTGTGTGTGTGTGTGTGTGTGTGTGTGTGTGTGTGTGTGTGTGTGTGTGTGATGTGTGTGTGTGTGTGTGTGTGTGTGTGTGTGTGTGTGTGTGTGTGTGTGTGATGTGTGTGTGTGTGTGTGTGTGTGTGTGTGTGTGTGTGTGTGTGTGTGTGTGTGTGTGTGTGTGTGTGTGTGTGTGTGTGTGTGTGTGTGTGTGTGTGTGTGGTGTGTGTGTGTTGTGTGTGTGTGTGTGTGTGTGTGTGTGTGTGTGTGTGTGTGTGTGTGTGTGGCCTCTCCCTTTTTCTTAAGAAACTTAATTCTCAAGCTTTACAGACAGGAAACATTTTAATTGTAATGTCCGTGCTCAGCAGGACTTAAACGAATCGGTTCCTTTTTGACTGTCCCTCTTGTTTCTTGCGTCATCTTGGCTTCTCCCCGTCATCACCAGGTTGATCCCCCCAAGTCTTCACCTTCTGCTCGTTGCTAACTGAAAACACAAAGTATGCATAGCTCTTTTTGTTTCACTGTCAGCTTTTTTTCTTGGCATTATGTTATAGTGTTTTTACGCGAGAAGCTGCACGAGGCTCTGCAAGCTGCTTTCCTTTCGACATGGGTGTTTGTGTAAAACCACAAGGCCCTTTCTTATGTTTCCTGGAAACTCAAAAAGAGTCACTCATGGGTTAAGAGCAGGGCCCATGCAGTTGTGGGAAAGCACGGTTGCTGTTTAAAGTAGAGACGAGACATCTTTTGCAAAGTTTCCATTGTGCTGTGCTTCTGAGAATCAGCTTGGCACATTAAGATGGTGCAGGAAGAAAATGCTGCTTTCCTTTGTGACCTCTTTACAATATATCATCTTTATTTCATTTATCACAATGGAAACTTAGGGATGCACGATATTGGTTTTTTGAAACCGATACCGATAACTTCCTGCTTCTCAAGACCGATACCGATAACTTCCTCCTTCTCAAGACCGATACCGATACCTACCTGCTTCTCAAGACCGATACCCGATAATAATATATATATATATTAAATGTACCTGTAGTTTTTGCACACCTGGTGGTAAGAAAAAGACTAGTAGTGAGCAAATGACATGAGCATTACTACTATGAACAAAACTAGCCCTGGGGTCGTCTCTGGCAAACTTCTTGCCTTTTTCAAAAGCCTCGTCGATCGGTAAAAGCCCCGGTGCCTTTGCAGCTGGCTTTGGATTCGCCGCTAGTTTAGCAGCGCAGGCGTCTTCGTACGCTTTTAACACACCATCGTAGCGATGGCGATGTTTCAGGTGACTAATCAGGTTGGAAGTATTATAGCTCGTTGCCTTTTTCCCTCCTCGTGGAAGTTCTGCATTTGTTAATACAAATAGCAAGCGAACTATCTAACTCTGAAACTTTGAAATAGTCCCATACTACCGGCGACATGTTTGTTTACTGTCCTGGCTTCACGGCCGCACACCATTTACGTCACAGCCAGGCATGAGTTAGGGAGCGCTGGATTTGTGAAGAACTCCCCTCTTCCTAAACCACTAATACCACAGTACTGGCAAAACGGGAGGAGCCGAGTGAAAAACAAGCGCCCCTCATCCCAATCCACCCACACCGCAGTATTTGTTTCTTTTTTTACCCAAAAAATATATTGTATATTATCGGGGCTATTAATACTGTTATCGGGTTTATCGGGACGACATCATAATTCATAATATCGGGCCGATAATTATCGTGCACCACTAGTTTAAACGTCTTAGCATGTCAACATTTTTAAAAAATGCTGATTTTAAAAACAATGGATTTGTTTCTGAAATAGATGTGTGAAGACACAATGCCATAATGCACCGGGGCGTTGTTTTGGTTATTAGGAAGAGGGTATTAGTAAAAATCTGTATATTATTCAGAATTTATAGAGATTAATATCGGTTTAACTTTTTACTATCATTGTTTTTCTTTTGGTGGCTTTTTGTCAGGTTCTCCGCGGGGTCTTAAAAAGTATTACAAGTTGATAAATCAATTTAGCGAAAATGAAGGCTATTAAAAAATATTAAACGGCATTTCCCAAGGTGTTACATTTTGTAGCTTGTTGTCAATAAGTATATAAATGGTCCAAAGAGGTTGTATTCTACAGTCTGCCTGAATGTAATCATGGCGTAGGTGTGTAGTGTGATTCTGTAGTTTATTGATGGCATCCCGTTGGGTTTGACGTCATCTGAACAGGACATCGCACGCTCACTGCTTGATAGCGCGAAGGTCCGTTTACGCCGGTTGTTAAACAACATCGTTATGGGGAAATGCAAGTGTGCGTCCAAATGGTTGGAAGATAAGGAGGAAGGACAATCAATACTGTATATAGTCAATGTGAGGTGAAGTGTGTCGCCAAGGTAACCGGTTCAAACTCCAAGTGGCGATGAGGTCTTAAAATGTATGGAAAGGGGCTTAAAAGGTCTTACATTTGACTTCAGGATTCCTGCATTCCCCGTCTGTGTTCATTTCAGTAATTGGTTGTATTGGAGTGGTTTACTGAAAGCAGCTTCAAGGCAGTACTGAGGAGTACACACTAATATCTGTTTATTTACAAAAGCAATGTATTTTTGCAACAAAAGGGCCTGGACATTGTTGATGTTTCTCCATCTATAAAGCATCTCATCCAACATTAAGCTAACCCCCTGACAACATCAAACAATGTCCCTTTTTCTCTGTTTACTCACAACTTGAGTCAGTCTGAAAACTTAATTTAAGACTGCATGTGTTATTCTTTTATAATACACAAAGCCACCACAGTTTGAACTTCTCAGCATGTGGACAAAAAAGACTCTGATAAAAATAGCGAAGGAGTTCCTGAAATAGATGTAGAAGTACGTGCACATCAAGTGTATTTTCAGAGTATGAAAGATGCACGACTGTTCTCCAAAATACATGACTAACTTTTGAAACTGAGCTCGGTTAACTGCTGCCTTTGTCTTTGAAAGAGCAGCTAATGAAGCGTC